CAAAAAAAAAAAAAAAAAAGTACAAGAAACTGACTTAAAACATCTATAAAAGACATGCTAGTTTATATGCTTAATTATTTTTCTTAAGGTCTGTCTCACGTCTCCAATTTGACCATAAACTGCTTAAGTGAGGACCCATGTTAAATCTGTCTTGCCCCCAGCACTTAAAGACTTTCACTATGTAAATGTTCAAACATACTCGAATACGTTTTAAAACATCTTCTCATGTAGTAGTGCATAAAAAATAGTGTGAACAAATATAGTAACAGGAACTTACCATTGAAACCACTAGAACTAAAGCCAGCTAACATAGTAAATACAGTTTTTCAAAAGCCTTTAATTTTGGAAGCCCTCAACTTAGCAAAAAAAATCTACACATAAACCTACAGGCTCAACAAGGACTAGTGATTCTCACAGAGCTGAACGTTAAATAACTTGATCTCATTCTAAATAAGTGTAAGAACTGTACAGATAATTAATGCTTCTGAGAACTCCAATACTTAAATTTTATAAGCAGTTCATCTACTAGCTTAGTCGAATGCTGAGATCTTTTGGGAAGGAGAAAAAGCAGCCAAGGCGGTGACACAGCGGCGCCCCCGTGAGTCTGCTGTGGGGCAGCGCTCGGAAAGGCTAACACGTGCAGGGGCTGATGAGCTGCTCAACACAAACAGAAGTGTCTTGAAGGAAACCAGGGTTGGCCTTTACTCATCGACTGGAACTTATCCAAAAAGTAGTCTGATGTCCTAGTTACCTCAGATGAAAATCATAATGTTAAGAATACACAGGTGACCATCGATTCAAGAGGAAAGTAAGTATCTTCAACTTGTTTTTGTTGCCGAAAAAGCAAGGAATTCTCAAAGCAGAGCCGAGAGCAGAGTTTTAAAATACAGCACTATGATTTTCACCTGGATAAAAGCTGGAAGTCAGACTACTTTTTCTTTTACGTCAGCATGACTTCGGCACGTTCTGATCACAGATAAAAGACAGCGGCACTTCGAAGGAAAGCGTGGCCCTGGGCCAGTGGGCACTCAGCGCCCGAGGGGGCCCGCGTGAGGCGGGGCCCGGCCCGGGCCGCTCTCCTTCTCGGCCCTCCCGCGTTACCTTGGCACCAGACTTCCGCCTGCTTGGCTTCTTCTTACCTTGTCCTTTATACCTTGGTATCTGAGCATGAGAATAAAATGACATTTTACCACAAAGTATAAATCTTTAAAAATAAACTAATTCATACCAAACCAATACAGATTCCTATTAGAAAATTTCTTAAAAACGGAAAATCTAACTAATGTGCTTCATTTTGAAATCCACTGTTTTAGTCTTTTCCTCACACTCTTCCTAAAGTGGTTCAGCTCATGTTTAATTTCTCCCTCCGACAGTCACGGGGTTCAACGTAGGGACCAGAGCCCCTGCTCAGCTCCCGTGGGTGGGGACTCACTCCTTTCCCGCTCCATCCAGCAGCACGCTAAGAAAGCCAGCCTGCACGCCTCAGCAGCTTCCTCTGGGACCCGCCCTGGCCTCACCTCTCCTTCCCCGGGAGGACACAAAGCGCGCTTCTAAGGGCCAGGCTGGACCCTGTGCTTGGCCCCAACTTCCCAGAACTCTTAGTGCTCTCCAGACCGATGAGGCGCCCTGTAGGCCCTTCGTAGAGCCCCCAAACCACTCAAAGACCTCAGAGAGAGAAGAAAGCGGGCAAGAAAAGGGTGGGGCAAGGGCTAGAATCCCAAATCCAGACCCTGTAGGACTACAGGGGAACTGCAGTCTAACTGCCAAAAGAATGCCGTGTCTTAAAACAGACCCCATCCAGCCCCACTAGAGATGGGCCGTGGTGTCCGGAAGCGCTCACCGCGCCCGCGGGCCGATGATGCGACTGAGAGCCCAGGCAAGGCTGAAAACCATCGGAAGGTGGCAGAAGCAGGGACCACCTGGAGACACCTTAAAAATTACCATCACTTCTCTGTATTTAGAGCAACATTTCCTGACTTAAAACTTAAGATTCTCTCGATAATTCTCATGATAGAGCTTAAAACTCTTTTTATGTAGAGAGCATACGAATATGTAAAACAGACATTAACATTTTATCTTGAAGACACACAATATGTGGAAAATTAGTACTACCAATATGCTTTAGAAAATAATATGCTAGAAAGAGAGCTTCCGAATAACTCAATACTATAGATGTGAATACGTATTTTGGAATATGGTTAATTTTAATCCCTCTAAAGCCAGATATTTTCACAGAAAGCAAACCTTTCTTTTTACTAAGGCTCTTATATCTGGCACTTAATTTGAAGTGAATTTTAGATTCACTTACGACCTCGTTCTCCCAGTACAGCAGGTTCCAGCCTCCAATGAGCATCACGGGAAAATGCTTCCAAGACCAACCAACCCTATTAGGAAAGGCTAACTAGGCCTCGGGAAAAAGAACAGCTACCAGCAGCGTGAGAGCCTCATTCTCAAGGCACAGCATTCCTCTGATTTCTAAATCTAAAAAATAAAAAGGAGCAACAACATCAAAGGACCAGCAATAAACAGCAACAGGAACCATTCACTGGTGTCTATGCCCAGGCATCTGGAAAAGCAAGGAACCTAGCAGCACAAGTGCTGCCCTCCAGACGTTCACCAACTTTAAAAAGACACAACTTGTATCTACGAATAACACAGCGCCAGGAGCCACCTTGGGATGCTCCACGGCACCTCTCCAACAGAAGTCAGAGAAGTCACACAACACAATCAGACCCAAGCCCGCCCTGGGGTAAGGTGGGCTGGTTCATCCACCGTGCTGTGCTCAGCCAGACACAGGAAGATCCCTTTCCAGACCACGACCTTTCTATCCATTCCTACTATTACAGAGAGCCTTGAGTTTAAATTCAAGTGTTCCACACAATTGTTTTCTCCGTTAATCCAAATCACTGAAATCAGAAGGCCTTAACTTTAACAGCTCATACAAATATAACCAGAGTGCATGGACTTTTTATAAATCCTTAAAATATCTCATTAGTATAAAAAAATCACGGTGATTTACAATTCCAAATCTGGGCACCTGTCTACAGTATTCAACACAACAATTCTATATGCTGGAGCCTGATATTCTCAAATTACAGGAATTTATAAGTGAAAAGTAAATTTCCTTGTTAATTGAAGGACAAAACACTCAAAGTACCAAATGAATCCAAATATCCTACAATTCTGTTATTTAACAGCATATTTCTTTCTACGATACAATATTCAAAACAATATCAAAGCAAAAGAATTTTCAAAAATTTAAAAAAAAAATTTTTTTAAATAAATTCAGTATTATAAAAATGGAAAGTATAGTACTGAGATCCAAATCTCATGTGGCTCAACATATAAATTGTTGATAAAAAAATTTAAGAGCATATTTACATGGCATTTTAAAAAACCTATTGTCTTGCATAATGGTCCCAAAGGAGCTTATTAAAGTTTTAGAAGACTCTCTAAATAAATAAATAAATAAACATTAAAATATATACTTCATCAAAGACAAAAAAGCACTTTAACAACAACAAAACTTGTAACAAGAGTAGAGACAGAAAGCAGAGCCCCGTGGAGCCTTAGCCCACTCACCTTACTGGGAGGAGTGTGTGCACTTGTTTTTCTTTCTGGTGACTTTGGTGGAGAATGTACATCAGATAGAGCTAGTGCACCCTGAAAATATTCCACAGTTTAAAATTAAAACATTTAAAAATAAAGCATGAACATACCAATTATACCTCAACAGAATATCAGTATTTAAAACCACTATACGATATTGGCACTTTTATTTCTTCCTATTAACATAAATATCCTCATTAGATTTTCTTCAAATTTTACCAAAACACAAAGCAAACAGATTTGTGATTCTAATTACCTGCTGAGAATTTCACCCAAACACCTTGAACAGGCTATACTCAGGCCGCATTTAAACATGCCCCCAAGCTTCCTTTCCAGAGTTATTTAACCTTCTCACTTTGCTTTCCCAACTCGCCACACTAACACTGTCCTGCGATTCTCAAAGATCTACTCTTTCTACCTTCCCTTGACTTGATTCCTTACTTCACTGTCTCAAAATCACAGTCTCAAAAAAAAAAAAAAAAATCAACTAGCAACTCTCATAAAAACAGGAGTACATTCCAAAAGTGGCTCCTCGTGCTGCATTATTCATAGATATAAGCGACTCTCATGAAAACAGGTAACTGAGGGGGGGGCGATGAACTGGGAGATCAGGATTGACATGTACACACTAATATGTATAAAATGGATAACTAATAAGAGCCTGCTGTCTAATAATAATAAAATTAAATATTTAAAAAAAAAACAGGTAACTATTACAACTACGCGGGATGAGGCACTAAATTACAGGGTCTGCCAGGAGGGAGTGAGTAAAAACAAGAGAAAACGTCCCCGAAGTCAGAGTCAAGAGAATGTGGATAGTGGGGCTTCCCTGGTGGCGGAGTGGTTAAGAATCTGCTTGCCAATGCGGGGGACACGGGTTCGAGCCCCGGTCCAAGAAGATCCCACATGCCACGGAGCAACCAAGCCCGTGAGCCACAGCTACTGATCCTGCGCTCTAGAGCCCATGAGCCACAACTACTGAGCCGATGTGCCACAACTACTGAGCCCACGAGCCACAACTACTGAAGCCCGTGTGCCTAGAGCCCGTGCTCCACAACAAAAGAAGCCTCCACAATGAGAAGCCCGAGAACCGCAACACAGAATATCCCCCACTCGCTGCAAGTAGAGAAAGCCTGCACGCAGCAAAGAAGACCCAACACAGCCAAAAAATAAAATAAATAAAAATAAATAAATTTACTAAAAAAAAAAAAAAGAGAGAGAGAACATGGATGGTAACATTGCACAGCTGGGTACGGGAGAGGATGTACCATTTCAGGTGCAGAATAGATGAGAAAAGGGGGAAGGCAAGAAAGCAAAAGCCACTTCACAGGTAAGCTCCACCTGGCCTAAGCACAAGGTTGCACATTTCAAAAAAAGGCATAAGGCTAGAAAGCCAGGTTGGTGCCATATCATGCAGGATCTTAAAGTTGAGGAACCTGGAGATTATTCAGTTGCCATTACACAGTCACTGTAATGTTTAAAGAGGGAAGAAACAGACAAAGAGCTGAATTAATTCAGCAATCATGAATAGAAAAGACTGAAAAGATGTGGGCATAGCCACCTGGTTTTTAAGAGGGGGTTAAAAGGCACTTTGGGTAAAAGCTTCACTGAGTTCAGTGGCTAATCCACATCTAGTTTTCTTTTCCAGCATCACAAGTCCAAAGTCCATTACCTTCCACATTCCTACAGACCAACCTGACTAAAAGCACACATTTACCCAGGTATCTGGAACAGTCACGATGTTGTCTACATCCATGAAACAGTATCTTTATGTAAAACTAATGTTTGTAAAGGAAATCAGACCATTAATCTCATGAGCACGATTTCTAAAAAGAAAGGATAAGAAAGACAATGGCTAATCAAAAAAACGAAGTATGAAAATGTTTAGAAACTGCAAAATAAACAGCTCAAAGTTTTAAGCCTAGTTTAAAAAAGCCTTTAAGTTCAAAAAATTGTCAACTAGCCTATAATTCAGCCCTTCTACGTTTAAAAATAGTAGTAAAAGTAACAACCAACAATTGAGTGTTCTCAGCATTTCACATGCACTAACTCACGCGTGCACTAACTCAGGCTTGTAAGCCCCACGACGCCTGCAACGAAGACTACCATCCCATCTACAAAGGAGGACCCGGGGAGGGAGTCGCATGACCAAGGCCGGAGGCTAGTTAGTGGAGGAGCTGGGATTGGCTCCACACAGCCCAGCCCCTGAACTCCCTGATCTGAGAGTCACTCCCCAGGACAGGTGCGGCAGCAGCCTCAGAGCTACCGCATCTCCAATTTTCATCAAAGTGTGCATTTATACAATCTCTGAGTATGTCTTCTTTTGTTTTGTAGGAATAACCTCTTTTTATTTAAACCCGACTCATTACGTATGCACTAATCTGCGTGGCCGCACTAAACAGGCAATGACTGGAAAACAGAAACAGGTAACAAAGGGTAGGACTGTACTTACTTCCCCACTGGCTGGCCCTTTTTCTTTCTGTTGACAGCGTCTGATCACTTCTAATAATAAGGGTCCACCCACCGTACCTTCTGCTTCAATAATTCCTAAATCTCGGGCTAAATTCTCTCGACCTTCGAGACCTTGAAACTGGGAAAGAAATAAGATATAAAGAAGTATAAATGCACCAAAATATAGAAAAGTTATTTTCAGAGATTAAAGAAAAACACTTTCAGAACTTAAAGACATCTCTAAACTCAAAGAGGCCATTTTTCTAAGGAAAGAAACGTCCATTTTTAAGAAATGTATATTTCTTTTACCAAGTCTCTGCATTCAAAGTCTCCATTACCAGGTATAGGCTTAGAGCTGAACAAGTTAACTCTATAACATCACTTCTGTCAAGTTATGTGAAGCAGGGACACTGATGCCAGCTATCTGACAGCTCAGATGGCTTTTGAGAAAAAGATAATCAACTATAAAATACAATCTTTATGCCAAGATTAAACTAAGTAAGTTGTCAAATTTTGTTAACTTTCAGCTTGTAATGAACCCATCTGTATCAAAGGCAGTTTCAGAGACAGACGTAAAAAGCATCATTCTTACTGTGCTAGTTTCAGGTTGAAAAACAGCCAAGGTAAAATCAAGATTGAAAAACTGAAGAAATTCGGCAACGAGACTAGCCACCAGCCGGCCTGCAAAGAGCAAAAGACAAGGTGGGAGAGGGTCTTTAGGAACCCAAGGCCTCCTCACTGACACTGGAAGTAAGATAACTACAGTAAAGGGAGAAAAGAAGTTTCTCAATGTTTCAAAGTGCAAATTTCTTCTCTTGAATAATACAATGAAGTGATGAACATCTCAGTTCCACCATTTCCTCATTAGGACCATTGGTCTGGAACCATCAGTAACACAATGTGACATTTCATAAATGGATGAGTGTTTTGCTTTTCACAGGAAAATCAGCTTTTTACAATAAAATTGGCTGTAACCGACAATTTCCCATGACCACTGATATTTAATGGCAACTCAGTTGTACAATAATATACAATTTAAAATGAGAACCTACAAGAATCAGATACTTCAAAAAATAATCTGAAATTCCTCATTTCTCCCAAATGGAGTCAAGATTTGAAAATTCAGAGACAGACAAAATAAACAACAACAAACATCTTACCATCTTTCGTATTTAAAAACTTTTTCAGGCTCTCATTGACTAAAGGAGTTTTGTTCTGTTAAAAAATGAAATATTTTAAGGGTTATACATTTATCCCCAAACGACTACAAAATGTAGACTAAAGTTTAATTTTTTGGCAAAGATATTAAGTTAAATACTGTCACTCACAAAATGATGGCTAAACCCATTCTATAACTACTGATTACTACAGGAACTACTTTTTGCTAAGGTAAGGACTGAGACAGGTAAGGACTGAGATATACTCAATTAGGAGATTCTTCTTGACAGCAGCAAAAGAAATTACTTAGGTGTAGTAGTGATGGATTTAAGATGTTAATGAATTAGAGGGTGCCTGGAGCACAAGGAAAGGTATGAGACAGACACAGTCTTTCAAAACTGAGGAAAAAAGTTGCAGAGGTATTAAAAAGCAGAACGTGAGTTAAGGGAATCAGCTTTCTCCTTGAGAGAGATGTAAACATGTTTCCATGCTCAACAGAAGAGCCAGCAGAAAGGGAGAGGCCAAAGATAACAGCGTATAGAAGAGGCACTGACAGTAACACCTAGAAGGTAAAACCCAGAGAAAGTGATTATTCTTGGACAAGATAGAGTCGCCTCTACTAAAGCAGGAAGGAACGAGAAACAGATGAGCACAGATGCAGGGGAGCTTTTTCTGAGATGAGTGACAGATTGTGGGGGAGGACACAAAAAGTTAGCATCTGATGCTTCTATTAACTAGTGAAGGGAGAGACAAGACCGTCTGTCAACAGTGAAGCAAACAGGTGATGTAGGAGGCTAACGTGAAGGCGAAGTGGGAGCTGCCGAGCAGAGACGAGAATCAGGGTCAGCAGCTCAGGGCCTCAGAGGCTGGAACCGCCAAGCAGGAACATGAGCAGTCCAGTGCGGGGTGACGCTCGAGCGCAGATGGACACAAACGGGGAGGGGCATTAATCGGCTCAACTAAATGACCCTTAAGATTTTTCCCCAAATCAAGTACGGCTGCAAGGCAAGGTAGTGAGGATTTTTTTTTTTTTCTTCTTGCGGTACGCGGGCCTCTCACTGTCGCGGCCTCTCCCGTTGCGGAGCACAGGCTCCGGACGCGCAGGCCCAGCGGCCATGGCTCACGGGCCCAGCCGCTCCGCGGCATGTGGGATCTTCCCGGACCGGGGCACGGACCCGCGTCCCCTGCATCGGCAGGCGGACTCCCAACCACTGCGCCGCCAGGGAAGCCCGAGGTAGTGAGGATTTTTGAGATATGGACCATGGGGTGCAGACCAGCTAAGAACAAGAGGCAGCTAAGAGAAGACTGACGTCTGGAAAAACACAGAAGTGAAGACCTTCATGAAGTGAAAGAGGAGCAAAGGCATCTGGGTCTAGAGTGAGGAGAAGAGGCTGATTTGTCACAGAGGAAGCTGAAGGCCTTGACTGTGGAGTGACGCTTGCTGACGGCAGGTTCCAGGGTATTTACTCAGGATGGTGGCAGGACGTGCCGTAGAGAGAAAAAACTAAATACACTTATACAGAGAGAAGTGACAGGACCTTTAACATAAGAAAGACTACATGATTTTAAAATAACTGGGTGGGGCTTCCCTGGTGGCGCAGTGGTTGAGAGTCCGCCTGCCGATGCAGGGGACGCGGGTTCGTGCCCCGGTCCGGGAGGATCCCACATGCCGCGGAGCGGCTGGGCCCATGAGCCATGGCCGCTGGGCCTGCGCGTCCGGAGCCTGTGCTCCGCAAGGGGAGAGGCCACAGCAGTGAGAGGCCCGCGTAACGCATAAATAAATAAATAAATAATAAAATGAAATAAAATAACTGGGTGACCGGATAACTTGGAGAAAAGCTGCATACGATATTCCTCCCACCTGGTGGGGATTCACAGTGCACATTAGCATATTAAAGGTTCTAAGGGGTCCCGCAGTAAACCCACTTACTGTGAAACCGTTTCTTCAGGTGTTCTGGATTTCCCCTAGCGAAAGAGATCTATGAGATTTACTATTGGCCTCAGAGTTGTGGTGCCTTAACTTTCTTTAGATTACTCCAAACCTCTAAAATATACATGAAAAGAGAATAATCTTGACCCTCTCCCAACAGTAAAGAAGTTTAATCCTTAGTTCAAAATTGTCCCCGGCTACACACTCCTCTAAACAGTGTTTTAGAGTGGCTTTGAAGTAATTAGAAATTAAACATAAACGAATACAGTCATTAAACTTTGTAGATTTCGTACCTCTACTTTTTCTTGCTCCTCTAGCGCTAAAAACACAGCTGCTCGGAGTTCAGCCTTGAAAAAAAGCGAGGGGCAGGGGTAAAGGAACAAAAATGATCTCAGGACATTTTCAGGACAAGAAGCTCACCAACTGAAATTTCAAAAGGCAAAAGGAAAACTAGCGAGATGATAACGCTCAGCAGGCAGGTGCAAAGAGAGACCAGATGGCGTCCCAAGACGTCCTGACGAAAGGGCGCAAGCTCTCTGTGCCCCGTGCCCACCGTCTGTTCCCCTGGCACTGTCAGCACCCATCACTCTGGCTGCGGTCCTGATTTCCGGTGCTTCATGACGCCCATCGGTCGCGTCAAGGTTGCAAAGTACACTCCGAGAAGCAGCCCGCCACCCGCTCGTCACCGCCAGCGGAAGGGGCTCGCTGCCCAGCAGCAGAGGCCAGGGGCGGGGGAGACCCAGGGGCTGGGGAGACCCAGGGGCGGGGAGCAACTCGACCACCGGGCCTGGAACGGGACCAGAGTGGGTAGCGGGCGACTCGACCACCGGACGCCGCGGTCGGCCTCCTCCGACGAAGGCTGGCCGGGCCCCCCGACCCGCTCGCCGCCGCGCGGCCCGGAAGCTCCCCGGGAGAGACCCTCGACCCGAGCGCGGACCGCCCCCGAGGTGGCCCGCGAGCTCAGACCTCAGCCCAGGCGGCCCGCCGGATGCGTCCCTTGCCCCTTTGTGACGCCCGCGGCCGGCCTCCCCTCCGCCGGCCCCCCCGGCCTCCCGCCCAACCTTGATGCGGTTCAGGACCCCGCTGTTCTCCAGCGTCTGCACCAGCAGGTCCCGCAGCTCCGTGTCCTCCTCCGCCACCACCGCGGCCGCCGTCGCCGCCATCTTGCTTCTCCAAGACAACCGCCCAAGCCGCGCCGACGGCCGACGGTTGCCGCAGCCCGCACGGCGCGCGGCAACGCGGATCAGCCCACGCTCCCGGCGCCGGCGCGCAGCCAGCCGTCACGTCGGGGCGGGGCCTCTAGCGGGGGCGGGGCCTCGGGCGTCTCCGGAGGCGGGAGCTTTGAAAGCGGTGGGCGAAGCGGAGGCGGTTCTGGTGGCCGGTAAAAGCCAAAGCTGGCACCAAGTCAACTCAGTGCTGACAGCTGGAGGCTGACCCGGATGCAGAAAAGGTTCAGCTGAAAGGCATATGCGAGCTGCCTACAGACCTGCTGTACCCCTAATATCGTGAATGCTGCTGAGTGTTTTCAGTCAATTATGGGCAAAGTTCGAAAGATGTAATCATAATTGCAGAGGCGAATGCAAATTCTTGACAGTATAAAAGTAGAACTCAGACTTACAATGTTGGTGGGGGGGTGAGAGAGAGTATAAACACACTAATTTCCTCATCTCCCTTTGCAGGGAGCCAATAGGAAATATGTAAGTTTATAAATAATGACTTAGGTAAATAAAGTCACAAAATCTTCCACCATTAGAACTAAAAGTAATGTAAGTTTTAACATTAGGAGCTGAAAGAGAAGATAAAATTTTATCCTTTGAAAATATGCTATTTATGGTTGATGGGTCAGGATGTATATTATTTAGAGTTATAATGAAAAGAACTAGAAGAATTAAAAACAAACTTAACTGTAGCTGAGTCTAGGGTATGGTACCAGGTGGTGCGTAGGGGAACAGGGAGGACTCAGAGACCTTTCAGTATTTTCCCCTTTTGTTTGTAACCACTGATATGAGTAACCTCCACAGCAACAAAACAAATGCAAATGGACTGTAGTCTAGTTACAAAGCAGAACTGTGAAACATCCTAACACAGAATGCAGGAATTAAAGAGAATGAGGCAGAATATATATATATATACATATATATATATATATATATAAAAAGATGATTAGGAATTATGAAGTGAAATTAGTAAATTAAAAGACAGTAAGTGGGGCTTCCCTGGTGGCGCAGTGGTTGAGAGTCCGCCTGCCAGTGCAGCGGACATGGGTTCGTGCCCCAGTCCGGGAAGATCCCACATGCCGCGGGAGCAGCTGGGCCTGTGAGCTATGGCCGCTGACCCTGCGCGTGCGGAGCCTGTGCTCCACAAGGGAAGAGGCCACAACAGTGAGAGGCCCGCGTACCGCAAAAAAAAAAAAAAAAAGACGGTAAGCAAAGGATCCAAATTAGGGAAATAGAAAAATTACTTGTGGGTTTGTAACATGTCTATGAAAAGAAGCTGTCTGCAAAATCTCTGCTCGTCCCAAATAAACCTGTTCTGCCTGCATTTGAGGAAGACCTGAAGTGCCAGGGAGTTTGTACCTCCCAAGAGGGCCTGCAGGCAATGAGTGGGTAAGGACCCCTAGCCCCCTCACCCCCAGGGGCAGGAGGCACATCTAAGTTGTGTCCACTAGCTTCCAGTGTTTCTGGTTTGAGCTCTAGTGAAATAGAAATGTGCTTGAAAACACAGCCTTTATTAGTTCCTTCCCTGCCTGGTCCCCTTTCACTACTTCCCTGCTGGTGCTTCCTGGCATCCTCTCCCAAATAAACTGCACCCAAAGCCTTATCTTGGGCTCTGCTTCTGGGGCACTCAAACCAAGACAGTCGCCCCAGATCGGGTCATGTGAAGCAGACCTGGGAAGGGGGTTCTGGAATCAGGGTACTCATCAGCCGGATGGCCACGGGGACCCACCCTTGGAAGTAAGTGGGGTGGCCATACCCCCCGGGGTGGTGCCACAGCTTTGCAGTTGTGACTAAGCGGGAGGGGATGCACGTGGGGCGGGGGGCTCTGACTTGTGCAATCTCTCCAGCATTTGTGGAAATGGGGGCAATGGTAAATTTTAAAGACTGTGGAGTCAGGTTTTTTTAATTAATGATAGAAAAATGCTGAAGGAAGAATATGACAGCCAACTATCAACCCAAGGCGTGGTCCCATGATATCACATTGGTAGCTTGAAACCCACTATGGTAGGAAACACTAAGGAAACGGGCAAATACCGTAAATAAGGGCTTTAAAAAAAGAAAAAAACAGAGAGCCAGGTGTTAAACGTTTACCAGCACATCTGCCTTCGCTGGGTTTCCTGAGTCTGAGGATTTGTACCATTTGTTACTTCTCAAGGCCTCTTGATCTTTCTAAGCTTCGGTTTCCTCAGCTGTCAAGTATTAACCTACCTCATAGAGTTTTGTAATTTAAAATAACATAAATGTGGATCTGATTCGTTGGTGATGGGGGGTGAGGGGAGATGGACGCGGGCAGAGGGAACTTGTGGGCAGTGAGTAGGCCACGGTGCACTTGATCTTTATTTGGCTTTTTCTAGGTCTGCAACTAGAGTTCCTCTTTCAGCTAAGCTACGGCCCTCCATTTCAATTCTTTTAGCAGCTTTGTAAGGTAACTTTCGAAGGCACTAGGGTATTATTTCAATTATTACTCTATCATAAAAGTTAGTGTAACTCCTCACTCCCAGGGAGTCGTTTATACAACGGGGGAATTTGCCTTAAAACTCATGCATTTTTCCTATCATAAAGTCAACAGAATAGAAGCTCTGTGCAAAAGCATTCGCTTCCTTGAGCACTTTAAGGCCGAAGGTGTCACTATTTCTCATTTGTAAACGTGGGATTTTTAATACTACTGCTTAAAGTTTATTTTACTAACTGAAGGAAACATACATTAAATTTTTAAAATGTCCCAAATAAGCCTGAAATTAAGGAAGAAGAAATGGGAAATGCATTATTGTTTGAGTTGGGAGGTAAGAGAGCTATTCATTTATTAATTTCCATATCTCACCAAAACTGATGGATTAAAAGTTTAAAAAAATACTTACAATGAAATGATAGAAAAGATGCCCTTAGATGTGGTACCAATTTATGTGCTCACATTTAGCTTGTTCTTGTATTTTCTAATTTAGCCTCTGTGTTTTATTTAAGAGAAACAGCACACAGTTGATGATTTGGCATTATTGAACTCACCTCCTTATGGGAGTTATTCAGTATATCACTCTGTTTGTCACAGCTTTGTTGAGAAATAATTCGTACGTCGTACATTCGTCCATTTAAAGTGTACAAGTCAATGATTTTCATACATCTGCAGAGTTGTGCAACATCACCGCATTCTAATTTTCATCCATGTTGTGGTATTGACTCTATTTCATTTCGTATTACTATTAATAAGGGGTAATATCGCATTGTATGGTTATAACATTTTATTTATCTACTCATCAGTCAGTGGACGTTTGGATTGCTTCCTAGTTTGGGCTATTATGAAAAACGCTGCTGTGAACACTCATGTACAACTTTTTGTGTGAACATATATTTTTTCAATGTATTTCTGATTGACACCTAAAAATAGACAATTTGCTTTAAAAAAAAAAAATAAAGAAGGGCCTGGACTCATGCTGCAATGCTACAGAAGTGAGGGTACAGAGAAGATGGAATGAAGAGATGTGACTATGTTATAGAAACAAACTCTCTTACTAGATTCTGATAATAATTTCAGGAGAGGCTGGAACAAGGGAAATGCCTTCTGACTTCCTACTTGCATATTCTAGGCATAGAAAGTCCCTGTTTCTTTAATATCAAGAAATTGAAAGTGCATATTGACTCATGGGGATATAGTCCCTCCATCTGCACTCAGGAGTATTAATGCTTTCTCTCTCGAGGTCAGCCGTCCTGTGCTTGAGAGGTCGGGATGGTTTAGACAGAGGTGAAGAAAGAATAAGGTGCTTCATGACCTATGAGTTCTCATAAATTCTTCCTAGATTGTGCGAACGACACTAACATGCTGGAAAAGAGAAGTCTATACTTCCCCTGCTGGCATATTCATCATACATTTCTGAAATTACTTAGTTCATTATTTCAACGAAGATTTTCTGATAATGGGTTTTGTGTCGTGGTTAAAAGTATGGACTTTTGGGGCTTCCCTGGTGGTGCAGTGGTTGAGAGTCCGCCTGCCGATGCAGGGGACAAGGGTTCGTGCCCCGGTCCGGGAGGATCCCACGTGCCGCAGAGCGGCTGGGCCCGTGAGCCATGGCCGCTGAGCCTGCGGGTCTGCAGCCTGTGCTCCGCAACGGGAGAGGCCACAACAGTGAGAGGCCCGCGTACCGGAAAAAAAAAAAAAAAGTATGGACTTTTGAGCCATGTTGCATGAGTTCAGATCCTCTTACTGGTTGTGTTGACTGTAGCAAGTTCATTAATCTCTCTGTGCCTTGGTTTCCGATTTGTAAATGGGGTAAAATTCTCCGTGTGTGGGAATATGTATAGTTAGAAAGATTGCTAGATAGTATTGAATGTCTAAGACAGAGAGCACGATAAGAATATTAACTATTATGAGTTGATTTTATATACAGCCTCATCGCATTTTTTCCATGATACTCTGAGCTAATTTTTGTGTTTTCTAAGTTCTGTTTTATGGATGAGACAACTAATGCTCAGAGAAGTTAGGCAGCTTACCCACAGTCACACAGCAGCTAAGATGAACCATCCAAGTCTACTTGGTTCTCAAAATATTTTATGTAAATACTCCTCCCAAATGTAATATCTCTATTACATTTAGATAATGTAACTTGATTAAATCAAATAGAATTAAAGAAATAGAAAAAAATGATTGGATGAAGACATGGACTGCAGCAGACAGGAAAGGTGAGTCTACCTTCTCAGAGATGCATTCAGAGCCACCAGGGGGCAGCGTGCACCAGGACAACCGGCAAGGATCACCTTTTTCACTAATTCTCATTAACTGCTCTAAGATATGATAGTTAATACTGTCAGCTAATAGATTCACCACTTAGCCGATGCCTTTAAATTAGATATTCTTCAATGCTGAGGACAATATGAAAGTGGTTTTCTTCTACCCCACAACTTCTCTCAGGTTTTATTTACTTATTTAGCTTTACAATGCTTAGCCCTCTTTATGAATTTAATTATCTTGCTGCTAAGTACATGTCTAAGCATAAGTGGTTGGTACAACAAGCCATCTCTATGGTACCATATCAGTGTATG